CTCTCTCTCTCTCTCACTCACTCACTCACTCACTCACTCACACACACACACACACACACACACACGAACGCACAAACTGACACACTCACAGGGCGTTTGAGCAGGTCCGGCCAATACAGGACTCGCTCCCCGTGTCAACATGAGCAGGACAAGCTGATTGACACATTCGGCGCGCAGAGCCGACACAATCGGGGGGGCCCTGCTCGGCCAGGACGGCGCCCCCTCTGCTGCTGGGCGCCCCGGGGACGCGACGCCTCCGGCCCGCCTCGGACCCGCCTCCGGACCCGGACCCCGATAGAGGCGTCCGAGCCCCAAATGGTCAGCGGCAGACACGATTAATGGATGGTCCCAGGCCGAGGGGCCCGCGCACAAACGACTTCTAAGGAGGCGGGTTATCGCCTTCCACGACCGTCTAATTGAGTCCGCGGGGCTGGCGAAATAGGTATCCTACACACGTTGATAAAGATATCGCATACAGGATATGTCATGCACAAAGGGTATTTTTTACTTGTTTGCTCGAAATATCGTTCAAAATGAGAACGAGGCTAGGATTTTTGGTACACTGCAATATTAACGAGAATATTAACTAATTGGATTGGATATAAAAATATTTACCACCGGAGTACGTACATTTACCCACGGCGATTCACATACAGTTCAAAGTGAACTGTTGTGGAAAGGGTACCCACCCTCTAAATCTGCACGCGATATTTGAACGGGATCAAGTAGCCTGCTCATAAAAGACGTGGACTCGGGATGAGGGGTCCTGGTCCAAATACTATTACGGGGTCCCCAAAAAGGATCAGGTAGGGAGTCCATGCCGGCCCGATGATATTTGCACCCTGGTGTACAAATACCATGGTGTTCCTACGAAGTCCAACGACCGTCCCGATTCTCTTGGAAGCCCGTAACACTCAGGGCCGGCGGCACCTCCCTGGTCCAGCAAGGCCTCTCTGCTCGGCATTAGCAAGTCAAGCAGGGCGCTGACGCGGCTGACGCGGCTGACGCTGACCCGGTCACCGGGATGGCACCGGCGGGCATACATTACGTAGACAATGCGCGCCTTCGCAGAACACACACACTACACGCTGCACTGCCGGAAAGGAAACCGCACCGCACCACTTCGGGGGAGGAAGAAAAAAAAATAGTGTAACGATAATGTCTTTTCCGAGGATGCACCAGGAAACAGGACACCTCAGCATAATTATTGGCGCACTTGAAGCAGCAGCAGCAGCAGAGAAGCGAGGTACAGGGATTTGGTTCGATCTACTCGATCTAATCTATCGATCGAGGTTTGGTGGGTCAATCAATCCGTCTCAATCAGTCAATCAATCCGGCGCAACAGCAGTGCGGGACGCGGCTACCTGTCACGAATGGGGCTGTGATTAGCTCGCTATCCACACGCAGCCCTCACACACAAGCGGGGCCTGATTACCGCAGTGAGCGAGAGAGAGAGGGAGGATGTGGCCGACAAACTCTCGCGCAAGGCCAAGGCGCTGCTGCTGCAGCTCCTCCAGGAAGGAAAAAAGGAGCAAGGGCAGACGTCCGGCTGGACAAGCACCTCAAGTTCAATAACACTGCAAGGGGAACGGTGCGAGGGAGCGCGGGGGCTTAGGGAAAGAAGAAAAAAAGTGGAGTCGAGGCATGATACCCAATCTAAGTGTCCGGGGGGGGCGTTAAAAGAGCGTTATTTCCCTTTATTCAATTTGCGCCTCCCGCGGGGGGAGCGGAGCGTGACGTTACCGTCTTGGTAAATATTGGGCATTGTTGGGTCCGTCCGTCACGGGCCGACGCGCCGGCCGGCACGCCTATCAGGTACAGTCCGCTCCCCGCTCGCGCCCCGCTGCGCGCCTGTCGGGTACAGTCCGCTCCCGAAGTGCGCGCGCACACACACACACGCACACACACCGCGGCTCCGGAGGAGTGAATGTGTTCCCCCCGCCCAGACAGTGATAGATAATCCGTCAGCTCGACCCTTCAACACACAAACGCTATACACACCCCTTCCGGATGGATCTCGGGGGCGCGCGAGCCAAGACGCCCCGCAGAACGCTCCAGCTGACCGGGAGGGCCGCTAAGGCGGTTATCAGCAGCCTTATTCAAGATGTGTGAGCGTAGCGTGTGTGTTTTGAGCGCTTGTTTTGGGAGAGACATCGGTTACAACGTTCTGGCGCCAAATTTACGAGATTCGAAAAAGAGGTCAATTACGCGCCCGACTGCCGCCGGCCTGGAGTCAGTTTTGGTCGTTGGCGAGTGAGCTCCTTCAGCTCCCACAGGGCTAAGCTGCGCGACCTGACGCCGCCGTGCACGTTCCATGCTCGAGTGCGAACTGCGTAGGGATCCCGGTAGTAGCTGCCTCGTGTATCGACAGACTCTAGCTGCCGCGACAAGCGATGAAGCTCTTCCGGAAATCTACGCGTTCTGCCCACTGCGGCTGGAGCGCCGTACGACCAGGGCGCAGAGTGGCTGTGTGTAGATCGAGAAGTTGAGACTTTCAGCCAAGTTCCAAATGAACCAGTACGGCTGCGGCCGAGTGAACCAGCCGGACGCAGCGGACCCCGCAGAGGGACGTCATCGGCGATGTATATAAGCCGCGGGATCGAATCTGCGGCCGCCCGCGAGAGGCGGCGCTCCCGGGCGCGCGCGGGCCGCGGGGTCTGCGACAGGGTCGCGGGGGCGCGGCCACCCGGGGCAGCGCGCGGCGCCCGGCAGCTCGGCGGCCTCCCCGCGGGCCTCCAGAGCGCCGGACAGCCCCCTCCAGCGGCCCGGGGGTGAGGCGCCGCGCCCGCGGCACAGCGGCGCGACCTGGTGCCCGGCCCGCGGACTGCATGCGGACTGCCCCGCGCAGCGCGGGGTAGCGCGCCGCGGCCGCGATATCGCCGCGATGTCCCCGGCGGCGCGGGGTATCGCCGCAGCTACCCCCGGACCAGCACCGCAGCGCGGAAAGCGTTCTCGGCAGTATCCACCCTTCGACCCTGTCCTGGTTTTGTCACACACCTGATAACACCGTAAGCACAAAAGTGTGGATAATTAGGTCACCTTGATGGAGAAGTAAAAAACTTTCAACCTCTTAAATGCCAATGCCATTCGAAATGTCATTACGTTACAAAAATTAAATTGTGATAACTTTGCCCAAAAATGAACACGCCCCTCATGTCCCTGTTGTTTCAAGAGCCGATTGGGAGGTAGCGAATTGCCTCTACAAGACTCCTGTTGCTAGGCAACGTGTAATTTTCCCCCTCCCCACCCTTCCATTCTGGCCTTATGGGTGACCATAAACTCCTCAAAACTGAAATGTGTGAAACACGTAATGTGAATAAAAATTACTATAAATGAACCCACATAGAGCAAATGGAACGTAAGAAATGTGGTGAAAATGAGTTCGAATGCACTGCCCTACACATGCTACAAAAGAAAAATCTTGTATTTCGGCTTACAGAATGAAAACAGGGGATAAACAAAACGGAATGCCTTGGTACACGGCACCTAAGCTCGGGGTGGCACCGCCGCGGTGTGTTTCACATACGCAGTTGCGGGCTTTGCGCCGGGGCCTTGCCTCGCGCCGGCCGGCCGGTCGCGGCCCGCGCCAAAACAGGCTGATGCCCTCTCTTTGTGCCGCGGGCAAACACACGCAGGCAGCACGCGTACCGCAAATAGCATGTACCGTCCCCGGGTCAAAGTTCACAGCCCTAGGCGTTAAGCCTAGGGATTTTAATTTTCCGGAATAGTATTTTTTGAAAAATTTTCAGGATCTTTACTAAATGTCTGAATTTTTAGCAGATGATACCTTACAACCTTACACCTTAAC